CCCTTCAGTCCGCAGGCCGACACTCTATCCACTGAGCCAAACCGGTTAGGGCTAGACTTTTATTCCATATTAATTTTAGAAAAAGCTTTATGGGTGTCTCAAAAAAATTTTTTTTTTGAATTTGTGTTAGAATTGCACATCTAGTTTATAGGTCGGGAGAGGTAAGAGGAGCTTTGGCATGACGATTCTAGAAGACAGAAAAGGAAAGAAGCCTGTGTGTCCGGTTCTGATTCTGCCTTCAGCCTCTCACCCAGCCAGACTCATTAATTTATTATACAGGAGTAATAGATGTATTACTGAGCATCTATTGTACACTATGCACTTACCACCTACATGGGAAGAGACAGACCTTAGCAAATAGACTAAAAACTGAGAAAATGTGAGGAACTGAGTGCTGTGAAGAAAGTGAACTGATACTGTGAAGAGGAAGTAGAGGAGGCTGCTGTAGCCAGGGAGCTTAGGGAGGAGGACCAGCACACTGAGGGGCACTGCTGGAGTTGAGGTCTGAATGATGTGGAGGAGCCAGAAACTTAGTGCAAAGTGTCTCTGGTAGTGGGAACAGCAAAGGGTTAGGTGGGCACAAACCGGATGTGCCACACAACAAGCCATTGGTGGGATTGAAGCCCAGCAAGCCGGGGGAGAGGTAGGGACAAGATCAGAGATGCCAGATGCTGCAGACTCTTGTGGACAACTAAGGAGTATGGATTTCCCCCCAAAGGTGGCAAGCAGCTTTTGAAGACTTTGAAGTGGGTAAGTGAGTGACCTTTGGTTGTGCTGTTAACCACCTTCCGCTTCTTCTCCAGCAAAAAAGGGAGACCCTGTCCCAGCTGTGCCTCGTCCCCATGGTGACATCTCCCCAGGAGGAGCAGCAGCTCCTGGCCAGCACCTCCAAGGTGAGGCCCTGAGTCCTTAGGGTGGAGGTTGGGGGCCTCTCCCCGCAGCCTGAGCCCCACCCTTCTCCATCCTCTCTCCCCCAACAGCCCGTGGTGAAGCTCCTGCACAACCGCAGTAACAACAAGTACTCCTACACCAGGTGACTGCCAGGGGCTAGGGAGGCGCCCTGGGTGGAACCCTGGGCTCAAGACAGCCCTGCTCCTGGCCCAAGGGGAGGGCTGTGGCCACAAGGAGGGATGAAAGGAGTGCCTGCTGAATGGGAATTCCAGCTCTGCCACTTACCCACTGGGTACCTCGGACAGGTCATTTTCACTTCTGAGCTTTAGTTTTATCAGCAAACAGGTTTTGGTGAGGATTTGATGATAATGACTAGCATTTACTAAGTGCTTATGTTGTAACAGGCATTATTCTAAGTGCTTTACATATATTAATACATAATCCTCACAAAATTTGTGATCTCCAGTTTGCAGCTAAGGAAATTGAGGCACTGAGAGGTGAAGTAATTTGCCTAGTTTCACCCAGTTAAAAAGTGGTGGAGCTAGGATGCCAGGTGGTGCAGCCTGACTCCAGAGACTGCACAGGTAGCCACTCTACTGTGCTGGGATTTGCTCAGCAAATGCTGCTTCCTTGCAGAGGCCTGCGTGGCCTGGCCCCAGGGGTGGAGGAAGGTCCCTGCTGGGCACCAAACCCCTGGGCAGGACCAGAGTGCTGGGTGTCCGGGCCCTATGCTGGGGGGAACAGAAGGTGGGAAGCCACTTGTGCTGAGGCCTCCTGGCCCCTGGTCTTCAGCACTTCAGATGACAACCTACTTAAGAACATCGAGCTGTTTGACAAACTGGCCCTGCGCTTCCATGGGCGGCTGCTCTTCCTCAAGGATGTACTGGGGGACGAGATCTGCTGCTGGTCTTTCTACGGGCAGGGCCGCAAAATCGCCGAGGTGTGCTGCACCTCCATTGTCTATGCCACGGAGAAGAAGCAGACCAAGGTCAGAAGGGGTTCAGGGCCTGGTCAGGGAGGGCTATGGTGGTTGGCAGGACCAGGACCCTGGACAAAGGCAGCTGAGCAGATCAGGCAGGGGGAGATCTATCACTGAGAGTCAGGATCCAAGTTCTGGGGTCTTAACTGTGTAAATCATGATGTCATACCATCTTGCCTCTGACAGTCTTATCAGCCTGGTCTCTTCTGACCTTCATGAGGGATGTGCCTCAGATACCAGAATCTTGAAAGTCTCTGTGTATCAAATGCTATTTCACACCTCCCCAACTTTGCACACATTATTCCTTTTTGTTGTTGTTAATCCTCACCCTAGGATATTTTTTCCATTGAATTTTAGACAGAGTGGAAGGGGGGGGGAAGGGGAAGAAACATCAATGTGAGAAAGAGACATTGATTGGTTTCCTCCTGCACATGACCCAACGGAGGCTGGGGATCAAACCTGCAACCCAGGTACATGCCCTTGACCAGGAATTGAACCCACTACCCTTTCAGGGCTTGGCTGGTGCTCTAACCACTGAGCAACCAGCCAGGGTTACATTATTCCTTTTCCTTGGGATTATTTTTCCTCATCCCTGTCTGCCTGATGAACTTGTACTTAATCTCTAAGACCCAAGTTAAGCATCACTTTATTTGAGACACCTTCACTCATGAACATTTACACTGACAGTCCCAGACAAAGTTGGTCATTCTTCTTCCTTAGCTAAATAAAGCTGGGGATGCTGAGGGGTGTCAGTAGTAAGGTGTTAGCTCCTTGAGAGTAGGGCTGTATCTTTTTTTTCTTCCAACTTCTTTAGCACTAGTGGGGCTCATGGAAGAGTCTCTCATAGTGGAAGCTAGGAAACACTTATTGATGCGTGAATGAATGGCCCAGCTCTAAGAAGCTTCCTCTGTTATTGGGAAAACAAGATAAATCAATAATTAGAAGGTAGCTTGTTAAGAGTTATGTTAGTTATATTCCTCCAAGACACACAAGGGGAACCCCAGTCACCTCTTTGTTTCGTCCCTTCTACTTCATCACTCTGTGCCGGTGCATTGGCCTTGCTGCTGATGTTCAAATCATCCACTAAACCCACTCCTGTGCCAGAGCTTTTACACTTGCTGTTGCCTCTTCCCAGACTGCTCTTCCTCTAGTTGCCCACCTGGCTCCCTCCCTCTTCTCCTTTGGCCATTGGTCAAGTGTCATCTCAGTGAGGCCTTCTCTGAATACCCTCTGAGGACATTCCTGGCCATGATTATCCCCACCCCCCCGTAACATTTGTGATCATCTGACAGTTTATATTTTATTAAATGTATGTCTGTGTCCTCCCCCTAGAATGTAAACTTCCTGTGGGTAGGAACTTTGTTTTGTTCATTGCTATGTTCCCAATGTCTAGAACAACCCTGGTACAGCGCACTTATTCAATAAGATTTGTCTAATGAAAGAATATACCAAAAGACTTAGTAGCAAAGGAGAGAAAATAAATAACGGCCTGACTTCAGAGCTGGACCTTGAAGTGTAAGTGTGACTTTGCTGAGTTAAGAAGTTGCACAGAGGACAGTCCAGGCCAAAGAACCTGTGATTGCAAAGACTAGGAGGTGTGCCAGTGCAGGAGCAGCTGGGGGGAAGGGGTTGCTGTGTGGCTGGACCAGAGGATGGGAGCTGGGGGTTGCTGGCCTTTTGCAGGTGGAATTCCCAGAGGCCCGGATCTTTGAGGAGACCCTGAACATCCTGATCTACGAGACTCCCCGGGGCCCAGACCCAGCCCTCCTGGAGGCCACAGGGGGTGTAGCTGGAGGTGGTGGGATGGCCCGAGGGGAGGATGAGGAGAACCGAGAGCATCGTGTCCGCAGGATCCATGTCCGGCGCCACATCACCCATGACGAGCGTCCTCATGGCCAACAGATTGTCTTCAAGGACTGATCTTGACCTTTCTCCCTGTTTTTCTTCTGCCACTGGGACCCAGTCCCTCTTTCTTTTCCTCCCCTTCCCATACCTTTGCCCCGGCTTTGCTGGCCAAGTCGTGGGTCTCCCTTGTGTCCTTTTATTGCATGGTACTTTCACTTTGGCCCTTTTCCATTCATTCTCACTTCATTGCTAATAACATGGTACATTCCAGCCCCTTCCCTCAGTTAGAGCCCTTCAGAAGGCTACATTCATTCCCTCATTACCACTCTGGCCCTGCTATTTTCCCTTACCAGCTGGTTTAAAATGATTTAGAGTTCTCTTTTTTTAGTACATTGTACATGCCAAAGTGTCAAGCCAGCCCTTAATAACACCCTCCACATTCTGAGCTGCCTCCCAACCATTGTGCAGGGTAGTTTGCTCCCTCTTTCCCTTTCCATTCTCCTTACCTCTTTAAGTTTGTATTAGGCTGGTCTGGGCCTGCACCAGCTCAGCTGTCTTCTCAATCTGTTTCATATTATTTATTATTTTAATTTTCTATTAAATTATTGAAATAAAGTTGAATTGAGGATCTGGTGCTAACTCCCAGGGTGATGGCCAGGGCGATGGCTTGTGTTAAGGGGGTACCTAGCTAGCTGGATGGGAAGACATGCACCCCTGCCGTGGGGCTGGTAGCTGGGAAGAAAGTAGTCAGGAGTTAAAAGAGAATTTAAGATCTGTATTTCGATGTTTCACTAGCAAGTTCCCACCCTCAGCCCCACCCCGCCTCCTGCATTGGAGAGGAGGTCCTGGCAACCATGCAACCACCCCGGAGTGCAGCATATCTCCAGCCCAGATGTCTGAAGGCAACACCTTCCTTCAAGGGTCTGGTGCAAAGACAAAGTCGAGGGCCTGGCGCTCAGCTCCAGCCACGTTGGGATGCCAAAGGTCCACGATGAAGACCACTCGAGGTCCATCTTCAGGGGAGCCTAGGGTACATGGGAATGGAGGCAGAGAGTAGCTGACATTAGGCGCTTATATGCCAGAGCACTCACCAAGTAACCAAAAAAGCAAACACTTTGTAAGTAAATGCCAGGCACTGTTCATCATGTGCATTAACTCTTAATCATCAAAACAAACTCTGAGATAGTTCCATAATTATTCCTATTTTATACAAAGTAACAGGCACAAGGAAGTTAAATAACTTGTCCAAGTTCAAGGAGCTAGTAAGTGCCAGGGGTATGTATTGTATTAAACGAGAGAAGGTTAGCACCATCCTTGACAAGGGTGGAGGAGGCCCTTAGGCCTGACAACATACGTGTAGTTAAGGTGTTGCCAACTACTTGGTAGCATCTAACCATGTGGGTGCCAGAGGAGCACAGGAACCCCAATCCAGGCCCAGGGTCTTGTGCTGTTAACCACTTTGTACCTACATTGATTTATTTAATCCTTCAGCCACCTGACCAACAAAGCAGTTTCCTCATTTCACAGGTGATTGGAAATTATGACTTGTTCAAGGTTATGCAGCTAGAAAATGGTGGCACTGGGCAGTTGGCCTGAGTCTGCAGCCTCTCATCTATTCCCCTCCACTCTTAGTCCCGCATCCCTTCTAGCAGAATGGGACCCCATTACCATTATGAGCCACTGTGTGCAGGAAGGAGTCATCCACCAGGAGACAGTGTCCCTCAGCCCAGCACTGGGGCTCACCCCCAACCACCAGCTCACAGCCAAGGGGGATCTTCAGACCTGTGGGAAAAGACCCAGGCATCCAGCATTCCAGCCTCTATGGAAGGAGCCCATCCCATTCACAAAAAGCAGACAGGGGGTCCTAAACACCAGGTTCTGTGGCGGTTCCTCTTGCTCTCTGGAAGGTGACTGGAATAGAATTATAAAACAACTAGAGGCCCGATGCACGAAAATGTGTGCAAGAACAGGCCTGCCTTCCTCCGGCACCCGGGACCCGGGACCCGGCTGGCTTCCCTCAGGCCCCGGTTTCCGTCAGGAACGATGTCAGGAAGACATCTGGTCTAATTAGCATATTACCCTTTTATTATTATAGATACTGGCTGAAAGAAGTACTGGGAGATAAGGGAAATGCAGTGCAAAGCACAGTCTATTCTGTTTTAGAGAAAAGGGAAGGCTTCCTGGAGGAAGTGGCATCTCCTCCTAGGCTTCTGACAATTTAACTCAAGAACCTATTATGTGCTGGGCCTTCCCTCCCTGCGAGATATGAAACTAATGACTTCATCCTTGCCCAGGGACCACACAGCTGTACTGTGAGAAAACTGAGCAGCCACTTCAAATGATGAGGAATAAGAAGACATCCCAGAGGAGGTGTGACACTTGGAAATATGAGTGCTAAAGACTAAGTACGAGTTTTCCAGGAGGTGATGAAATGATAAAGGTAAAGACATTTTAGGTTAAGGGTATAGCATAAATGTGGTGTCTGCCAGGATTAGCCAGAAGGCCTTTATTTTGAAAGCATGGTGGGAGAAAAGGCAAGGAAGGGAACAGATGGGAGGTGAGGAGAGAAAGGATCTAGACTTGATCCTGAGGCGAGGGTACATCCATCTGGTAGCACAATAAGATCATGGAATGAAATAACCAGAAACTTGTTTTCCTTTCCATTTTCTCCATCTTTAAAACATCAAAAAGAGCATCTCAAGTTTGGTGCTACCATGACACTAACACCTTACTAGTATTGCTCCCTTCTAAGTAAAGAGACTGTAGGCTTGTGTCTCAGACTAGAGTATTTAGCCAAAATTTGTAAAGCCTTTTTTGAAGTTTAAATTTGTTTTCATGATTACTCTCTATTTAGGACACATAATACTGATTATCATTGTTCTATAAAAATTCCTTTTAAGTAAGTAAAACAAAACGTGGGGGGAGTCCATATGAAGAAACACAGTCCAGGTGGTAAGTGACTATGGCAAAGCTTATGAAGATAGTTTGCAAGTAACTGAAGCTCGGGAAATGCCACTGCTGTGGGCAACAGTTGTGGAAGATTCTGAGAAGAGGCATGATCAGAACACAGTGTACAAAGCTCTGGTGGCAAAGGAGAGGCAAGGAAGTTGTCTGCAGGCATCATCTACTTACCCAGATGGCATCTGACCCGGGCATTGGTGGGTCCACAGCGGCCTTCAAGCCGGGCCCCCGGAAGAAGGACAGAAAAGCCAGCGTTGCCGAAGGAGTTGGCACTCATGAAGCTCCGCAGCCCCCTCAGTGCCCGATAGGCCCCAGGGCACCGGCGGCAGTTGTTGGGCTGGCACCGGCCTGCTTGGTACAGCAGGAGCTGGTAGCACCCAGGAGCCAGTGGTGGGGACCAGCCCCGAGGCAGAGGGGTAGTTCCTGAGAAATCCCAGCTCACAGCCCCAAAGTCCCGCAAAATAGCAGGGAAGCTGCTTTCCAGAAGTTCCACATCATGTCGCTGGGCATCCCGCGGCACGAAGGGCACAGAGGGCAAGTTTGGCAGGAAAAGCAGGCCTGGGCGCTGAATGCCCAGGACCCCTGGCCCTCCTCCAGGGCCAAGGCCACCCTGAGCTGCCCGCCTCACCCTACCCATCCCTGCCCAGGAGTAGCGCCTGGCGTAGGCCCGAAGGCGGCGGCTCACTAGTCCTTCTGTCCTAGGTCCTTTCCCAGCCTCCCCAGAGCTCCCTGGGCTTGGCCTGCCGACCTCAGAGCATCCCCCAGGCCCACCACTGACACCCCCAGCCCGACTCCCAGCCGCCAGGGCCTGCAGGTCCTGGGAGCCTAAGTAGTAGCAGTACCAGAGGAAGAGGGAAGTGAGGGCTCCGAGCAGCAGGGTGAAGGCTGAGGAGACCAGGGGCAAAGGCCATGTGGGCATGATGGGCAGGGAGGCCATGGCCAAGAGGCCTGGGGCATCTTCCAGACCCCAGTTCCCCTGTCCCCCCAGTTCTTCCTCCATGGCTACTCCCTGGTTCCCCCCGGGGCTGTTTCCCTTCCACATTTCCACTCTGTTCTCCCTCCTTCTGAAGTCTTCTCTCCACCTTGTACCTCCCTCCTTCTCTCCTCCCTCGTGTACCTTTAACCCTCTTCTCCCTTTCCTTTCTTCTGCCTCTCCCCCCACTCTCTTATCTCTCCTTTCTCCTTCCAGCACTTTCCTCTCTCACCCTCCGCCTCTCCTTTCTCCCCCTCTCCTTTCTTCTCTCCTCCCTCCACCCCCACCCTCCGCCCCTACCCTCCGCCCCTTTCCTTCTAGCTTCCCTGGACAGCAGTTCCTACCCCAGCTGGACCCGCAGCCCGGGGGACCGGAACCTGCCACCAGTCGTCCTCCGCAGCGGCTTCTCTCCTCTCCCCCTCTCTCTCCTGCGGCCCTCTAATCTCATTCCACCCGGCCGGCGGGTTCTCCCTCTCGCTCTCGCTCTCTCTCGCTCTTTCTCCCCTACTCGCTCCTTCCTTGGCTCTCACACATCCTGACGTCATTCCTTCCTACAGCAGTCTGCTCAGCTTAGTTACCCCAGCCCCTGCCCAGTGGCAGCGGCAACTCAGCCAGGGGGGAGGGGGAAGGGGGGTCGTCGCCGGATTTCCCTCTCCCCGGACCCCGAAAGGGCGCCACGTGCGGCGCCAGGGGCAAGTTGCCAACCTCCAGCCACCCCGCAATGCGTAAAGTAGGGGCGGGACAAACCAAGGGGTGGGGCGGACTGCGGACGGGGACGCTGTGGCCTGTCCTTGGGTCTGCAGAACCCTGGACCCATCTGCCTGTGACTCCGCCTCCCCTTTCGCTTCCCCGGGAGCCAGCCCCGGGGGCAGCCTGATTGACAGTAAAGGCGGTTTCAGCCAATCGCCCACGGCGCTGGGGGCGGGGCCCGCTCAGGCGCGGCCGGGAGAGCTGTCCGCGCGCTGGTGGTGCTGAACAAACGCGTCGGAGGCGTTGTGTGTGAGGCCAGAAATAAAAAAGTTAAAGCCCCTGCCGGCTGGCCGGGCTCATGTTGTATGTTGTCTGGTAAGATGAAGGGTCTCTCCTCTCCAAAAACCAGCCTGGTTACCCCTTGGGCTTCTCACAAGTGTGGAAACTTGCCACTCTCCTGGAGGAGGGCGGGGAAAGCCATTGCACAGGAGCTTCGGTAGAAAGGAAGGGGAAGTCCATGGGGTGAGGGTCTGGATAAGGGTTGGGGGCATATTGGGAGCCTCGGCAGCCTGGGAGGAGGCGGTTCAGAGTCCAGATGTTGCTGTAACAGGGAGAGGGGTCCGTAATTACTGCTGGAGCCAGAGAGTTTCCCTTGCCTTCCCTAGGGGCCGCGGGAGTGAGGATTACGGTCCTGGCTCATATGGTCCCTCCTTCCTCCATCTGCACTTCCTCCTCCCTCCCGCCCCCCAATAAATCTCAGGCCCCTCCCTTCGCCCGTCCCCAGGATCTGACGTGGACTCGACACCTTTCTCAGCTTCTCCCTCCGCAGCTCTAGTGCCCGAGCTTCGGCTCTCTAGGTTCCGCAACCCCCTCTGCTCCCCGCCAAGCCCCTCTAGAGCCCAGTAGATCCCCGACCCCACCCCAGGCCCCTCACAAGCTGTCTTGCCTTTCCCCAGCTGGATCACACCTTGGGATCCAGCCAGCCTGGTGGACCCAGGCGCCTGACCAGGAGGGTAACCCAGGAGGCCCGGTCCTTCGGCCCTCTCGGCTCCACCCCCTGCAGCCGGAGCCGCGCCCCCTCTCCCTCAGATCCCGGAGCAGAGAACAGAGGAGATTGGGCAAAGAGGGTTGGGCTCCAGGCGACCCCCCAGCCCAATTCTCCCCCTCCATCCCAAGGGGTAGAGAAATTGTCTTCCTTGCTAACTGCCAGGAAGAAAAATAATAAAGGGGAAGATAGAGACAGAAGAAAGGTGACAGCTAGATTATTTAAGAGAGGCGCAGAGACGAGAAATCAGTGTGAGTCGCCATGGGGACTCCCAAGGCCCAGCATCAACCGCCTCCCCAGCTGCTGTTCCTAATTCTGCTGAGCTGCCCCTGGATTCAGGGTAAGGACATGGGATCGTGGGGGTGGGCCATGAAAGCCCCCAGGGGGGCCCTTTACCCTCCTTTCTCGGAACACCCTGGTCTCCAAAGCTCCTGAGGCAGGGGAGGGGCACTGCTGATGGAAAGCGACTAGCCAGGGCTTTCCAGTTTGAACCTGGAGCCCCTGACCCCACTGTAGAAGAGGTGGGGGAATGAGTGAGGGTAGCTTTTAGCAGCATCTCAAGGGTTACATACAGGAAGGAGGGCTGGGAAAGTTGGGGGGATGTCTGTGGAGGCGGCAGAACACGCAGAGTACCTGAGTAGGAGATGGAGATGCTGGGAGGGATGCCAGGCACTGCACACACAACTGTTCTTGGATGTGTGGACAAAGACAGATGAGCAAAGGCACTGCTCAGAGACCAGATATTCAGTCCCCCACTCTGCCCCTCAGCAAGACACGGGAGAGACCACAGAGAAATGAGAAAGAAGAGAGAGAGAGAGAGAGAGAGAGAGAGAGAGAGAGAGAGAACGTACACCACACTGCAGAGATAGAAATCCAGAGAGAAAGCTGGGTACTGCAGAAGCAAGGGCTGGGAGGTGCTGTCAGACCAGGAAACCAGGAGACCACTGAGGTGAAAATGAAGGCAGCACCATCCCCCCTTCTCCACCCTGCTGGCATGTCAGGGTTCATTGGAGCCAAGGTGCTCACTGAAGGCCCACACCGCCTGGGGGGAAATGTGGAGAAGAAGGTGGAAGATTGTGAGGGGCAGCTGGGAGCCTCTCCTTCCATCTTAGCTCTCAGCTCAGCCTGGGACCCTGTGAGCTCCTGCAGGCCCAGCTGAGGAGGGAGGAATAACTCCGGAAAAGATCTTTCTGGTGAATGGGGAGTGTGGGGCAGTGGAAGGGCTCATACAGCTTCATCTCTCAGGTCTGCCCGTGAAAGAGGAGGAGGCACTGCTGGAGCCTGGAAGCGAGACCCCCACGGTAGCCTCGGAGGCCTTGGCTGAGCTGCTCCATGGGGCCCTGCTGAGGAGGGGCCCAGAGATGGGCTACCTGCCAGGTGAGGCTCCCGGAGTGGCAAGAGTAGCACAGAGGCAGAGGGAGGGACAGTCCATTAACAATCAGAGGGAGATAGAGGGTGATGGTTAGAGAGACCCAAAACTGAGCAAAGACAGATAAATAGAATGGTCAAGAGATAGAAAAACAGATAATCCGAGAAAAAGACAGATGGAAAATCAGAGAACCAGAATCAGAAAAATGGTGGGAGAAAGACACAAAAAGAGAAAGAGAAATGCAGAGATTAGTAAACCTAGAATCATAAAATCAGAGTGATAAGAATACTAATCAGAGAAATAAAAAGAGTTCCAGAGAGAGCAAGACAGAGGAAAGAGAAAGCGGTCGCTAGGAGAGGAACCAGATCTGAATGGGGAGGCAGAGAGGCTCAGGAGACCATCAGAGTGGAAGGACCTGGTCCAGAGGTGAACAGCGGAAGAGAAAGGGGAGCGGATGTCAGACTGTAGAAGCCTTGGGAGGAGGTGAGGAATTGGGGTGGGGAAAATAGAAGTGGAGGGTCTGCACCTTGTGGGGAAGGTCTTTTGGGTTCAGTGGGGAACCCCCAGTTTCCCTCAGCCCTGTGCCCCCCTCAAGACCCACCAATTTGCTCTTCCTGTGCCCTGACTTCCCTTGCACTGTCCCAGGATCTGATCCAGACCCCACGCTAGCCACCCCTCCAGCCGGCCAGACTCTTGCAGCACCCTCCCTGCCACGGGCCACTGAGCCAGGGACAGGGCCTCTGACAACAGCCGTAACCCCTAAGGAGGGTAGGGGGGCAGGCCCCACCGCGCCCGAGCTGCTGACCCCGCCTCCAGGAACTACAGCCCCACCCCTTTCTGGCCCCACCTCCCCAGGCCCGCCCCTTGGGCCTGAGGGAGGAGAGGAGGAGACCACGACCACCATCATCACCACAACAACTGTCACCACCACGGTGACGAGCCCAGGTGAGGCGATTGAAAGGGAATGGAGTAGTGTTCAAGAGGAGCAGGATATGAATAGGAGAGAGGCTGCAGGGAAGGGGTGCAAGAAGGGATCTGGGTACAGATAGGAGAGTTTCTGCTTAATAATATGCACCCATACCATGTACCTTTCTATGTTTTATCCATGTTACGGTTGGGGGAAGGGGATTCTGGGCACAGGGGGAGAGGAGCTTTGGATAAAGATGACGAGGGGTGCGGGGGAGAAGAGAGATGGGGGCCCCCAGAGTTGCATGACTGGGAGGGCAAGAACACAGGGATTTGTTCGACTCCAGCCACTTATATATCTTTTTAGTTTTGTGTAATAACAACATCTCCGAAGGTGAAGGGCATATTGAGTCTCCAGATTTAGGAAGCAGCACCAGCCGCACCTTGGGACTCCTGGACTGTACATACAGCATCCATGTCTACCCTGGCTACGGCATTGAGATCCAGGTAAGTGGACGTAGCATATAATCCTGAAACCTCCAAGCCCTTTCCTCTGGGTCCTAGGGTGTGCACAGATTTGACTTAAGAGCCAGAGAACCTGTTTCCTAACACAAATGGGCCTGCCTTCTGATGGTCAGGAAGACACCTGGAGTTCTACAACTTGGCCACTGTCACCGTGGTGTTTGGGCTGCCACATACAGGGAAAAGGAACGCAAGGGGGGGGGGGATTTGGGGGTTTTCCACCCGGGTTGACTTACCCTGGTGAGTCTGGGTCTGGCTTCTGTAGGTGCAGACGCTGAACCTGTCGCGGGAGGAGGAACTCTTGGTGCTGGCTGGTGGGGGAGCCCCAGGCCTGGCCCCCCGACTGCTGGCCAACTCCTCCATGCTGGGAGAAGGACAGGTCCTTCGGAGCCCAACCAACCGGCTGCTCCTGCACTTCCAGAGTCCTCGAGTCCCAAGGGGCGGTGGCTTCAGGATCCATTATCAGGGTGAGAGTCCAGGGTGCTGGTGGAAGGGCAGGGGCCACACTGGCACAAGGGACATCCCTCGGAGACTTCCATGCACAGGGCAACATGGGGACTTTTCCTCCTGACTAGCACCCTGGGGGCAGAACTCTCAGAGGAGACCTGGGCACAGTTATTTCACACACTTACAGGCCTATGTCTGAGTGTGCATGCATCCAAGTGACAGCTCATCCATTCACTCAACAAATGCTTAGCTAGTTCCACTTCATACTGGCCCTGGGTTAGCCTTGGGGAGAGGAATGAAGAAGCCACATGTAAATCTGACTTCAAGGAACTCAGAATCTAGGTAGGAGATGGGCAAGTAATCAGGATGATTATAATTCGGTGAGCTAAGGACCCTTATCCCTATGGTGGAGGAATACAGGCAGAAGGAGCAAATATCAAAGGAACCTAAATTTCCCCTATGGAATATAGGGGCACCTTCTTGGAGGAGATGATTAAGCTGAGACCTAAAAGATTAGTTAGCTAGGGAAAGGGTAGGAGGGAGCAAAAGAGGAAGGAAGGCAGATGTCAAGATGGATGGAAAAGCACACTCCAAGACCCAGAGAGGAGAAAAAATGTGAGCCCCTTGAAGAGTTGAAGTAATTCATCATGGAAGATAGAATGGTCATAGCTTTGTGATCTGGGACAAGTTACTTAACTTTTCATTGTCTCATCTGAAAAATGGGGATTATAATACTTACCTTGTGGTATTATTAAGATGATCAAATGAGTTAATACATGTCAAGTGCTTAAAATAGCATCTGGTACACAGTGAGAGCTGAAAATGTCAGTCGTTGCTATTACAGTAAAAGCACAGAAAGGGGAGGCGGGAGAAGTAAGCTAAGAGACCAGATCAGGAGGAAGGTTGGATTGGGCTCATGCTCTTATCAGCATCAGTAAGGAGTTCAGACTCTTCTTCCGGTAAGGGAGGGGGGATATTTTGAAGTATTTAAAGCAGGATAGTGACAGCCTTAGATTTGAGACCGAGAAAGATCCTGCTTACTCCTGGGGCAGGGAAGGGGAATATATTCGTGCATGACTGCATTCATGAGCATCTACCCACAGACAACCTACACACGTGTATATCCACACTCGCCTGTGTGTACGGGGAACCTTCCCACAATGCAAGTGTATGTCCTAGCATCCATGTGTACATGTGTTCAGAGGGCTCAGCCACTGTCCCGTTCCACATACCGCTGCCTCTCAAAAAAGCCTTCCTATGTCCTCAGAGACAAGGAAACTGGGTTGAGTCAATGTCCCTTTCACATCACCTCATGGCCTTGCCTGCCCTTTTTTTTTTTTTAATATATTTTATTGTTTTTTTACAGAGAGGAAGGGAGAGGGATAGAGAGTTAGAAACATCGATGAGAGAGAAACATCGATCAGCTGCCTCCTGCACACTCCCTACTGGGGATGTGCCCGCAACCAAGGTACATGCCCTTGACCAGAATCGAACCTGGGACCCTTGAGTCCGCAGGCCAACGCTCTATCCACTGAGCCAAACCGGTTAGGGCTTGCCTGCCCTTTTGTTAGCTTTGCTGACCCCATGCTCCTTTCCCAGGGCACACACACAACTTATATCCCCACTTCATACCCTCTCCAGCCTTTCCTGAGGCTTCCACTGGAGACCTGCTCCAGGGACTCATATGTGCAAGGTGGAGAGACCAGTGAACTGAGGGACACACAGTTGGTAGTCAGGGCCATATGTAGTTGTTGGGGAGCGAGGGCATGCCTTGAGGGCCTAGGGCAGAGGGTTGGACTTCAGATATTACAGAATGTTCCCCTGCTGCCTCCTTTAAGCAGCCACTTCTCTGGGGCATTGAAAATAGGACTCTAGGCTAAGTAGAACATTTGGGGAAGCAGGGTTACTTCATAAATTGGCCTTCATTACCTATCTCTGTCTTCCCTGCTTTACAGCTTCTCCAGGCACCTTTGGGACCAAAACCCTGTTTAAGCCCTTCCAAATGTGCCCGAGCTGGGCCTCTGGTCCAGCGTGGCCTCATTAGCTTCTCTGACAGACCAAAGTCTCCATCACCCCTCACCCCAAGCCCAACAACTATTGTTTCATTTGCTTCCCACAGCAACCCTGGGGGTGGCCATTGTCAACTCCATCTCTGGGAGGAAGAGAAAGACTCGGGTTATATGGTTTGCTCAGTCACCTGCAAATTCATTGCAGAGTCAGAACTGCGATTCCCTGACTCCCAGTCATTCATTAATTACGGCTGGTGAGACGCAGGGGACTAACATTTTCTGAGCACTTTTTATATGCTGGCTGCTTTGCATGTTTGTTTGTTTGTTTGTTTGTTTGTTTCACTTAAAGGCCAATCCTTATTGATAGGGATTATTATTGCCAGTTATAGGTTAGAGGCCCTAGAGGCGAAGTCGCCTGCTGAAGGTCATATAGCTAATAAGTTATTATCTGGAACTCAGATCTGCCTGTCTCCGAAACCAGTGCTCTTTGCACTGTCACATTGCTGCTTGCCTGCACCAATTGATCATCTAGGCCAGGCTTTTAGAAGACAAAATAAATAAGGCTTGGTTCAGTCTCTTAATGGCAATAGACAGTGGTTAATGTGATTATAAACTTACTAGAGGCCCAGTGCATGAAATTCATGCATGGGTAGGGTCCCTAGCAGCTGCCTGCTGTGCTGGCCAGGGCCTTCCTTCATACCATGCCACCCCCTGGTGGTTATAGCAAGCGATCAAACTCCCGAGGGGACACTTTGCATATTAGGCTTTTATATATATAGCTATGTGTGGGACTGTGTATAGGCAAGAGAGCAACCAACTCTATTGGGGAGAGAAAGGGTCAGGAAGCCTCCCTGAAAGAGATGGCACATCAGTTACTCCTTGAAAGATTAGAAAAAGCCAGAGAGGGCCTTGCAGGTAGGGGAAATGGTGTAAAAAACCATGGAGGTGAGACCATAAGGAGTCACAACCTACACTATGTAGGATATAGGGGCCATAGGTGATGAGAATTGGAGGTGGATGTGCTGGGCAGGACCTTGCTGTGGGGCTTGAATGTCAATCTAATGCACTGAGACCTAAAAAACAATAAATAAATAAATAAAGTACTGAGACTCGATTCTGTTGGTCCTGGAGAGCCATCACAGAGGCTAACATTTATTCAAATCAATGTTTCCTAGACAGTTGTTTTTATGTCTGTCTATCTCAGTAGTCTGTAGATTCCCAAAGAGTAAGGCCTGAGTCTTTTCATCTCTTTCTCCCCAGGACCCTGCCAAGGAACTACTTGTTGAATTTTGAATATAGGGAGAGACCAGGTCTCTTACAGAATCACTGAGGGCTAGAGAGTCCGAAAAAGCAAAGGCCTAGGCCAGTGGTCGGCAGACCGCGGCTCATGAGCCACATGTGGCTCTTTGGCCCCTTGAGTGTGGCTCTTCCTAAGCCTTAGGAGTACCCTAATTAAGTTAATAACAATGTACCTACCTATATAGTTTAAGTTTAAAAAATTTGGCTCTCAAAAGAAATTTCAATCGTTGTACTGTTGATATTTGGCTCTGTTGACTAATGAGTTTGCCGACCACTGGCCTAGGCAAGCTGGTATCTCCCAAGCCCTCTGCTAATTATACTCTTACCCTCCTTCAAGACCCAGCTTTGATGTATTTCTTCCAAGAAGCCCTTCTCGATGAGCTCTGCCTGGTCTGAAACAGACACACAGAGCTCTGTCAAGATCAAGTTCATAGTCCATAATTTACTACCAAGTCACTTTCTATTTTTTTGTTTTATCTCGTATAATTCTACAAGAATTTCAGGAGGCTTTTAAAAAAGAATTCAAGCAATAAAATGAAATAGAATAAGAAAAAATTGGTACCAGGTAATGTTTATTAAAGCTGAGAAAATAGATTGTGGACAAGCCTTGTTGCCAGGGATAAGTCATAATCTGGTTCTGAGCTTCCTAGAGGCCAGTGCAAAAATAATAGAGAGATTACACAGTTCTCACAACAAGAAAGGAAAAAACAAAGCAGTTCTTTAATGAAAGCAAAGCTGTCCCTAGCACTTCACTTACATGGGGAGATCTATTTAGGGAGCAGTGAGTATGAAGGCCTTTAATGGTGAAATAGTCCAAGTTTCTAGAGGAGTTTCATTTGGTTCCTCTAGGTGAAAGCTGAGGGCATAATACCCTAGTGTACCTCAGTGGAAGTCCACTGCCTGTGTAGAGGGGAGAAAATGCACTGAATAACTTGAATGCTCATTGGCTGTATCTGGAAATAGGTCACAGTGTTTCTCTGACTACCTCAAAAGCACTGTGTGAACTCACTTTGGAAGGCAAACAAGCTCTGCAAATATATTATTTGTTATTATTAGAGCTGGATGGGGTTCAGAGAGGTCAATTGATTTGCCTGGGGTCACACAGCAAAAGAATTCTAGGATCCAGAATTTCTTTGAGTCTCAGGTACCTTATCTATCAAGTGAAGGGCAAAGTGGGTAAATTACAAAGATTAGAGGAGATAAGAGATGTTGAAATGAGCTCTTCATGAGAGTGTGCCCATGTGAGGACTCCAGTATGGAGCCATTTTGTGCCCCCAGGGGTCCTGGAAAGAGGGGAGGAAGTGCTGGGGGACTGGGAGGGTGACATGGAAAATGACCCCCCTCCTCCCTGCTCTCCCGCTCCAGCCTACCTCCTGAGCTGCGGCTTCCCTCCCCGGCCGGCCCACGGGGACGTGAGTGTGACAGACCTGCACCCTGGGGGCACGGCCACCTTCCACTGTGATTCAGGCTACCAGCTGCACGGTGAGGAGACCCTCATCTGCCTCAATAGCACCCGGCCAGCCTGGAGCGGTGAACCCCCCAGTTGCATGGGTGAGTCTCCTGCTACAATAGGTGGGGGCTTCTGTCCTAGGAACCCCACTGGAAGGGTCCTCTCTTGGGGGTCTCCATCTTTGGGGAACACCCATCTTGAAGGGGTTTGGACCCTGAAGAGTTGCTATCCTGGGGCCTCCATCTGGAGCTCTTTACACTGAGGTCTCTATCCTTGGAGTCCCCATCGTTGGGGGATCTCCATCCGGGAATGTCCCACCTGGAAGTTTCCATATTGGGAGTCACCCACTGGAGGTCCCTTCTTTTGGAGACTCCTCATCTTAGAACAGCGGTTCTCAACCTGTGGGTCTCAACCCCTTTGGCGGTCCAACGACCCTTTCACAGGGGTCACCTAAGACCATCGGAAAACACATATATAATTACATATTGTTTTTGTGATTAATCACTATGCTTTAATTTTGTTCAATTTGTAACCATGAAATTGGGGGTCACCACGACATGAGGAACTGTATTAAAGGGTCACAGCATTAGGAAGGTTGAGAACCACTGTCCTAGAAGAAACCATTCTTGGGGCAGGGGGTGGGGGGTGGAGTCTCAAACTGTTGGGAGGGTCTCTATCCTGAAGAGTCTTCATTCTGGGGATCCCAACTTGAAGATTTTCTATCTGAGGGCTTAAATTACAGGGCTTCCCCATGGTTACCCATCCCAGCATGTCCACATCGGGGGAGTCTTCATTTTGGTGGAATCTCTGTCCTGGGGGTGTCCACTCTGGGTTTTCTTATTCCAGGTCTGGGTGCCTACCTGGGCAGTAACCTCGAAAAGGTCCTGTTCTCTGGGGTGGGCGTGTAGGGCAGAGGCCATGCTGAGGCCAGGTCCCAGGCAAAGGTGTGGATGCAGCAGTTCTGAAGATTGGGAGGACAAGTCACCTTAACCTGCCCCTCCTCTGCCCACAGCATCCTGTGGTGGCACCATCCACAATGCTACACTGGGCCGTATCGTGTCACCTGAGCCCGGGGGAGCTGCAGGGCCCAACCTCACCTGCCGCTGGGTCATCGAAGCAGCTGAGGGACGCCGGCTGCACCTGCATTTCGAGAGGGTCTCGCTAGATGAGGACAATGACCGGTGAGGGTCTGGGCCTGGGGTCAGAGTCCCACCTCAGGGAGATAGGGAGGCTGCAGTGGGGAGACAGACAGACCTTGGGTGGGTCCCAGTTGGGATCTGTGTCAAACACAGGTTAGTTCTCTTTCTTAGACAGTAGCCGTGGAAGCTTAGATGAATCTCTTAGCCTCTCTGTGCCAGTTTCCTCATTGGCAGAATGGAGGGAATAGTACCTCTCTCTCAAGTTTCCTGTGAGGATAAATGCATTAAGACATGCAGTGTGCTTAGAATGGTGCCCAGCACACAGTAAGCACTAGAAATGTGTTTGCCATGGTCGTCATCATCATATTATTTATCTAACAAACCGGTATCCCAGCTCTGCCCAGTAGTTGCTATGTGACGTTAGGCAGGCTACTTCATCTTTCCGGGTCTCAATTTCCTCATCTATAAAATGAGAGGTTTCCTGTGAGCATTAAACATGATAAAATAGGTAAAGTCTTAGCTAAGTACATGGCATATAATTAATGTTGGAAAACAATAGCTATGAAAATAAGCAAGGCGCTCCAGTGGCACGATCGGCGAGCGCGCGGTACTTATAAGAAAACACGAAGAGCAGGTAAGAGATGAAGCAGCTTCTGAGGGGAAACTGAGCTCCCGGCCACCCTCTGTCCACTCCAGGTTGATGGTGCGCTCAGGGGGCAGTCCCCTGTCCCCGGTGATCTATGACTCTGACATGGATGATGTCCCTGAGCGGGGCCTCATCAGTGACGCCCAGTCCCTCTATGTGGAGCTGCTTTCAGAGACGCCTGCCAATCCCCTGCTGCTAAGCCTCCGGTTTGAAGGTAACTGCCCCCCCCCCCCGGGCCCCAGCCCCTGTGCCTTCCCCTCTTCCTGATGCCCACACACGGTCACAAGCACATACTCTATCCCTGCTCATCTCCGTGTTTGGATTCCTGAAACCTGACTTGCCTCCCCACCCAAAACGACAAGGATGCCTTCGTATGGACCCTTTCTGATTTCATGAGGTGGCCTTTTCTATTTAAGCTTCATATATGGCTGGATCCAGGTACACAGCCGAGGGACCAGTTACCTTAACCTCTCAGTTCTTTCCTCTGTGTTGGCTTCATTCTCCAGCACTCAGTTTGTGGTGAACCCAGCAGGGCCAAATTAACATACTACCAACTTAGCAACTCTATCAAAAAGAGAGCAAGCATACCACTTTCCCAAGGGCTTCAACGAAAAATGCCAGGAAATGTTCTGATGGCCTGGCTTAGGTCATATGCCTATGCCTGAGCCAATCGCCATAGCTAAGGGCAGATTATGATTGGCAGATCCACATCACGAGGCCATCCCTCCTTGGCCCCAACTGAACCTGATGGACTGGAAGTGGGGGAGGCAGGTGTGCCAAAAGGAAGGGGGATTGGATGCTGGACTGGTAGAAATAAGGAGGTCAGTTATCATGGGAGAAGGAACATTTGAGCTGGGCCTTACAGATGGAGATAATTTTAAAGGAGAGAAATTGGGAATTAATGTTTTGGGTGAAAGGAACAGTGTGAACAATGGTAAAGAGGTAGAGAGAGGCATGTTTGGGAAACAGAATTTCAGTGTGGCTGTAGCAGAGGATTTGTGCAAATAGTAGCACGAGAGAGACAAAGAAAGTGAAGTGCTCAGAAATGAAATGAATCAAAGGGTTGATTCATTTCATTTCTGAGAATCAGAGAAATGGAATTGGCTCTGGGCCCTAATGGATGTGTAGGATTTGTCCATGATACCTTATAAGGTTAACTAACAGTGAGACAGACAGTGAATCTACAAAATAAATTGCATGTTCTATTCTGAGAGTGCAAGGAGCATGCCCAGGTTGGAGGCCTGCCCCCACAGTGTGGGCCACTACTGACTCAGGAGCGTCGGGCTCCTGTTCTGTATCACAGGTATCTTAGCTCAGAGAATTTTGCAGCCAAGGTATGGTCAGGTGGGAAAACAAAAATGCTCCTCAAATGTTCATTTTCCTGACTTAGTCCAAAGTCAACACACAGCTTTTGTGTCAGCTGCACTTTTGGGTGCCAGCCCAGCATGGACCATCAGGGGTTATCAGAATCCAACAGTTATTCCTGAGAAGAGAACACACCTCCATGAGCCAGTGTCCTGGGGCACGGTCCCACCCCCCTTCTTTGCAATTTCCAGAGGCAAGTGTTTGTGGCTGGTAATGAAGCAACCTGGGTTTCAGACTTGGTTCTGCCACTGCCCTACTGTGTGACTGTGGGCAAGTTTGGTTTTTGTCTGTGGACCTTAGTTTCCTCATCCGTAGAACGGTGGCTAGGATTTGACTAGCCCAGGGGCTTCCCTCCAGAGGCTGGGGAGGTAACATCAATGTACGAAGGACTGTTAGGGTTTTAGGGAAACTGGAGAGTGAAAGCTAAGTCCAAAGGCATTCAATTTTAAGCAGCCCACTGGCCAAACAACACTTGAATTCAGCCCAAGTTCCCGATTGAGACCCCTTGAGGCCTGTCCTAATGCGTAGTTTGTGTGATTGACTCTTCCTTAGCCTTTGAAGAAGATCGCTGCTTCGCCCCCTTCCTGGCACACGGCAATGTCACCACCACAGACCCTGAGTACCGCCCAGGGGCGCTGGCTACCTTCTCATGCCTCCCAGGATATGCCTTGGAGCCCCCTGGTCCCCCCAATGCCATCGAATGTGTGGATCCCACAGAACCCCACTGGAATGACTCCGAGCCAGCCTGCAAGGGTGAGCCTTCCATATCCCAGTAAGACCTCAGTCTACAGACTACCCCCCGAGCTGGGAATCCTAGGAAGGCCATTCACGGAGACCTGCATATCCAAACCTAATAAACGCAGGCCTTGGGTAATCTCTGTCCCTTTCAGAGACTTAGTTTTCAGAACTAAATGATTGGTGGGCTTGTTACAGAATCCAGGGGTCACAACCCAAACGTCTCCAACAGCTAGAAGTGGAGCTGGGCGAAGTGGGGGACTGGGTGGAGAGTGGGCGGGGTTAATTAAGAGCAGGGCTGGGGATTGGATGCAGCAGGACTAGGGGTGGCAAGAAAAAACAGGTAGCAGGGAACCGGTGAGGCGTCTGGTGCATACAGTTGGGAGTGGAGGATTGTGGTGAAATGGAGACTACATGCCCACCTGGGTCCTGACTTTGACACCCTTTCTACCCTAGCCATGTGCGGAGGGGAGCTGTCGGAGCCGGCTGGTGTGGTCCTCTCTCCAGACTGGCCCCAGAGCTATAGCCCCGGCCAGGACTGCGTGTGGGGCCTCCATGTCCAGGAGGAGAAGCGCATCTTGCTCCAAGTTGAGATGTAGGTTTGGGTGCCGCAGAGGATGCGATGGGTGTGGGCTCAGCAAACTGTGGTGTAACAACACACTAGCCTGCACCCCCAGCCTGGTAGCTCCTGTGTCTACCCAGGACTGGGTGAATGTGTGGTCTGGTGAATGAGGAGACTAAGGTTCCTGGCGGGGGTGTGGGGGTCAGGTAGACCTGGGTACACACCGCTAGTCAGCCAGTCTTGGAAAACGGCCTTCCTCCGGGCTTTTGTGGGAAAGGGCATCTGGTCTGGAATCTCCCACTCGGGCTGTTTCTGAGGCCACCCCAGAGCAGATCCCCGGGACCCAGGCCCAAGTTGTTGCAGCACCAACAGAACTAAAGTGGGTGTGGGGAGAGTGCAGTAAGCTGACTTGATATGAGGTAGTTAACGGGACTGGACAGAACCGGAAGTGAGCGTGGCCAAAAGCCGGTCCTCAGGCGGGGCCTGGAGTTGGGCGGGATGATCAAGAGCACGAGGAGCCGCAGAACTAGTGGAACCTGGAGAGGCCAGCATAGAGAAGCCCGTAATTGGCCAAGACTGAGGAGGGGCCAGACGGATCGGATCGTAGTCCAGCCTCCATATCTGGTCCTACTCCCTGCAGCTTGAATGTGCGCGAAGGGGACATGCTGACACTGTTCGACGGGGACGGTCCCAGCGCCCGAGTCCTGGCCCAGCTGCGGGGACCTCAACCGCGCCGCCGCCTCCTCTCCTCTGGGCCCGATCTCACGCTGCAGTTCCAGGCACCGCCCGGACCCCCAAACCCGGGCCTGGGCCAGGGTTTCGTGTTGCACTTCAAAGGTACCGAGGTCTAGGGTCCCCAGATGGGCAGGGTTCCAGCAGGAGCGAGGCCCCACGAGGCTGGACGGGTTCCCTGGTCGCAGGGCAGCCTCTGAACTCGCCGTCTCTACCCTGCAGAGGTCCCCAGGAACGACACGTGCCCCGAGCTGCCACCTCCGGAGTGGGGCTGGAGGACGGCTTCCCACGGGGACCTGATCCGGGGCACAGTGCTTACTTATCAGTGCGAACCGGGCTACGAGCTGCTCGGCTCCGACATCCTCACCTGCCAGTGGGACCTGTCCTGGAGCGCTGCCCCGCCGGCCTGCCAGAAGAGTGAGCCCGCCCCGCCCCGTCCTCTCCCGGCCCCGCCCCTGCCCTTCTGGGCTCCACGCTCCGCTGGGCCCCGCCCACTTCCCTCTGCGCCCCGCCTCCGGCCTTTGTCCCCGTCCCTATCCTGTCCAGGTTCCATCCCTTCCCTCTGGGTCGCTCCGCCCTATGCCCTTTGGTGCCCGAAACTGCCCTCTGGACCTCAGTCTCATCCTCTCGGGCCGCCTCCCTGTCTCTGGCACTGCTCTGGTCTCCGACCCCGTTTCCTCTGGGTCCTGCCTCATCTTTCCAAGGCCCCTCCACTGCGCATTGAAATTCTACCCTCCCTACCCCATCAGTGCTTGGTTACTCGCTTCCTGTTCTAGGTCCTGCTCCAGTGTCTCAGCCCCCAGCCTTTGACATTACAGGGAGTCCTAGGCAGTCAGTGAAGCCCCATGCTGGATTTGGGCTGGGGTTACACAGAGGGGTTGGGGTCCCTCCCTACCCTGATGGAGTTCACAGTCTGAGGGAGGGACAGCTAGTTAAACAACTCAGGATATTACAGGGTGGTAACCACAGGTACTTAACATCTCACTGGTGAAGTAGGAATAGGGGGTTGTGAAGAGCAAATGAAGTTTTTCACACACTGCCTGGTGCTGTAACAGTAAGTAATAGCTGCTGTAAGTACGAAGAAGGGCTGTGGGAAGAGGGGGGCGTTATTTGTCCCAGGGAAGAGGCAGGACATTTCACAGAAGCGGTGATATTTATTTTTTTTTATTATTATTTTTTAATATATTTTTTATTGACTTCAGAGAGGGAGGAAGAGGGAGAGAGAGATAGAAACATCCACGATGAGATAGAATCATGGATTGGCTGCCTCCTGCAAGTACCCCACTGGGGATGGAGCCCACGACCCGGGCATGTGCCCTTGACCGGAATCGAACCCAGGACCCTCCAGTTCGCAGGCCAACACTCTATCCACTGAGCAAAACCGGCCAGGGCAGAAGCGGTGATATTTAAAGGAGCTGGGAGCCGGGCTGGTGTGGCTCAGTTGGTTGAGCATTGTTCCATGAACGAGAGGTCACCTGTTTGATTCCTGGTCGGGCACATGCCTGAGTTTTGGATTTGATCCCCAGTACAGGGCATGCAGGAGGCACCTGACCGATGTTTCCATCTCTTTCCCTCTCCCTTTAAAAAAAAATCAATAAAAACATATTTTAAAACAACAACAACAACACACTTTAAAAATAAATAAATAAAGGAGCTGGGAGTTTTTCTCTTTTAGAAGAGCAAAAAGGGGTGGCATCGTTCACTTTCTCCCAGTTTGGGGCGGCCTGTTACTAGAATAAGGGATTGTAGGTCTTCTACCTGGCCCTTGGGGGCACTGGTGGGGCCCATGAGCGTAAGTTTCAGGAGGCCAGATTTGGATTGGACACAAGTCTAGTTGACACAGCTTCCCAGACGGGACAGGGACAGGGACAGGGACAGAAAAGGATGGAGGCAGGGTCCAGAGTGGGTAGGCCTAGCCCGGCTGCTCCAGGCTCAAGAGGGAATCTGCCCAAAGAGGCACACTGAGCCTGAAGCTGAGCTGAGACTCAAATCTCTGAATTTCAGCCCAGTGCTCCACAGCTGTGCCCCTGAGTGGTTCCAGCTCTGCCATTCCCTGAGTGACTGTGCGCTAATCACTTGACTGCCCTGAGCCCTGGGCCCCAAGGCAAATGACAGTGATACTGACCTCAGGATGATCAGAGTATATATCAAGTTTTTGTTGTTGTGGTTTAATCCTGACTCTAGGATATTTTTCCATTGAATTTTCAGAGGTAGTGGAGGGGGTGGGGGAGGGGGGGAGAGAGAAATATTGATGTAAGAGACATATAGACCAGTTGCCTCCCACACTTGCCCCAGCTGGGAAGTGAATCGAACCTGAGAACCTCCGGTCCTCAGGCCAACGCTCTAACCTCTGAGAAACACAGGCCAGGGTGAGGTTTTTTTCCTGTTTTTTTTGTTTGTTTTTAATCAGAGCATATATCATGTTTGTAAACATTTAGCAGGATGCCTTGCACAAGTCTGTATATAAGAAATGGCTGTGATTATGACTCTTCCACAAGGTTGTAAACTCAACACCTGCAGGGGCCAGGCAGGCGCTGTTAGTGAGCAGACTGGGCTGGGAATGCTGAGGGAGAGGAGCCGGCGGGCAGCTGCTGTTCTTCCGATGGCTGCCAGGCAGGGCTGACACTGCGGGGATTTAGCTGGTATGCTCAGTGCAGTGGTTAAATATTTAACATTTTATCCTAGGATGGGGCCTAGGTTGCCCCAATCACTGTGTTCCCGAAGAAGCCAGAAATATAAAATGCATTGAATTATAAGTTTTTCCAACTCCTGCTCCCTTCATTCTGAGGAAATAGTGGGAAGTAGGGGGTTCAGGCATCTCCTAGCCCTGAGCTTCTGGGAGGTCTTTTAAGGCACTAGGTCCCCTTGACTTTGCTCTCTTGTCAACAGTCATGACTTGTGCTGATCCTGGTGAGATCACCAACGGGCACCGTACCACCTCGGACGCTGGCTTCCCTGTTGGCTCCCATGTCCAGTACCGCTGTCTGCCGGGGTACAGCCTAGAGGGAGCCGCCGTGCTCACCTGCTACAGCCGGGACACAGGCACACCCAAGTGGAGTGACCGGGTCCCCAAGTGCGCCTGTGAGTCGGGGGACACCTGGGAAGGATGGCTGGGTGGCTTGCTCAGCAGTGCAACTGGCATGTGACTGACATGTTCCCTGCAGTGAAGTACGAGCCGTGCCTGAACCCAGGGGTGCCAGAGAATGGCTATCAGACGCTGTACAAGCATCACTACCAGGCGGGCGAGTCTCTGCGCTTTTTCTGCTATGAGGGCTTCGAGCTCATCGGCGAGGTCACCATCACCTGTGTGCCCGGCCACCCCTCACAGTGGACCAGCCAACCCCCACTCTCCAAAGGTGCCTGGGCAGGCAGGGCAGGAGGGACATAGCAGTGTTTGGGGAGTGACAGGGCTGAGAAAGTCAGGTAGCAAATTGGAGACCAATGGTAACCCTGCCGAGCTCCCCATCCACCTCCTGTGGGCTCGCATCCGGAAGTCCGGGGGAGTCACGGTCATGAAATGATCCTAAGGGATGTAGTAGAAGGGGCTTTGGTTTGGAAGTCTCTTGTCCTCTAGAAAGGTCTCAGTTTCCCTATTTTTGAAAATTCTACAGACCTGGATGGTTTAGACTGCCCAGGGTTAGGATCCTGGGACTTTAAGGGGTCTGCAGGGGGAGGAAGAAGGCCCTGCCCTGACTCCTCCTCCCTCTCCCCCACCAAGAGAAAGACAAAGCTTAGGTTAAGCATCAGGCAGAGAGAACCAAGCTGTCCAGCCCAGCCCCACTGGGCTCCCGCCCTCTACCCAGCCTCCTTCCCTCCCTGGCTCAGACCCCGTCCCCTCCCCCTCCTCTCCCTGCAGTGGCCTATGAGGAGCTCCAGGACAACCGAAAACTGGAAGGTCAGTGAGGGCACAGGTGGAGACCCAGGCCTGGCTGAGTCGGGAGGGCAAGGCAGAGGCTGGGGGCAGGAGGCCAGGCCCCAGAGGGGTGAGGCCCAGGGTTCAGGGCCCAGGGCAGGAGGCTGGGAGAGCCCAGGGCTCGGCACAGCCCCAGCTCAATGACCTCTCCTCCTCCCACCAGTGACCCAGACCACAGACCCATCAAGACAGCTGGAGGGAGGGAACCTCGCCTTGGCCATCCTGCTGCCCCTAGGCTTGGTCATTGTCCTCGGCTGTGGCGTTTACATATACTACACCAAGTAAGTACCATCTCGGAGCTGTGGCCGGGGCGGGCATCCTGCCTGCCTGGTGGGTGAAGTGGGGTTGGGGGCTCACCTCTCTATAAGCCTCTCCATCTCCTCCCTTCCCAGGCTGCAGGGAAAATCCCTCTTCGGCTTCTCGGGCTCCCATTCCTACAGCCCCATCACCGTGGAGTCAGATTTCAGCAACCCACTGTATGAAGCTGGGGTGAGCCCTTCCCCTGCCCCTGGAGTGCCCACCTCCCAGCTCCCCCAGGACGCCATACCTTCTCTCACGGTCTCTGTAATCTGTCTTGGGAATTTCAAACTCAGCTGCCTACAAAGGCCACATCAATGAACAAAGCAAGTCAGGTGTGAACAATAGGGAGTGGTGAGGACTTTGGCTCACGGAAGAATTTGTGCCCCACCTAGTCCATAGTGGAAACAGGCCCAATTCCAGATTGTTCAAGACAATCCAGAAATTCAGATTTTTATGTGCTTTTAATATGCTGTAGGATGAACCAAACATATCCATTTCCACCCTATGGCGCCCAAACCACCAATGATGTTACCTGAAAAGTCCAGGTTCTTTCCCCTTCCCCGTGTTCATACTCCCATGTTGCTGCCTCCTCCACCACCATCCCACTCCAGCAACTGATCCCATCTCTCTGTCTCCAGGATACACGGGAGTATGAAGTTTCCATCTGAACCCCAAGACTAAGGCTGCAGGACCCAGACGTCCCTCCCCTCCTCATTCTGGGCGGGAGGAGTGCAGGACCTGGTCTCTGGCTCCTTCCTTCCTGTTGTGTAAATAGTCTCCTGGTCCCACAAGGGGGCTTTGTTGGCCCTGGGGACCCTACAATAAATAAACCAGCATCCTGTCACCCAGAACCTCCTCTTCTCAGTTGCCAAATAAGGGGCCTCCCCCACCCGACTGGCTTTTGGATCCTGGCATGGGAACTCAGTTCCACTACAACGCCTGGGGCCCCTCCAGCCCAGGGTACCTCATAAGGACTGCCCCCGAGAGCTCCGCTGTTCCCTTGGCCATGAAGGCTCTGCCCTTCCCAGATGCTCTGGCCCCAGCCTAACCCCTGGGCTTGGAGGGTCAGAAGGATGAAGGGGGAGCTGGGACGAGGCCCCTATGCCCTTCCTGCCATCTACTCAACCCACAGTCTCTCCACCTTTGCTTCTGGATTTTTGTTTTTGAGCAATAAACTGGAAACCACCATTTGTAACTGGGCTGGTGGGGTGTGGGAAGGTGGGTCACTGAGCATTGGAGGTGGTGATGGTGGCCTCTCTGGAGAGAGAGCTGGGGGAAGGGGAACAATTGAGGGAGGAGGGGGGGGATCTAAGACTAGGCTCAGGTCAATGTCAAGGGGTCAAAAGCCTGGCTGTAGGGTCAGCCTTTGTGGAGGACCGGCTGGGACAAGTCCCTTCTGGGCCTCAGCTTTCTCTCCACCAAGGCTTGCTGTTTCTAGCCTCTTCTCGCCAGGAGGTGACTGACAGTAGTCCCATCTCCTCCCTCACTGTTTGGCAGGAGACAAACAGGTGTCAATTTGTCTCATGTTTACCCCCCTCCTGAGAATTTTTGTATCCAAATGTACTCTCTCCACCCACTCACCATTTTGGCACTTAAGCATATCTGCTGTTCTAGGTCTCCCAAGTATTGGTCATATTTGCAGATGTCATAACCCGTGAGCTTGCTTTGTATCCTGTATCCATTTCTACTTTAATTTTTAACATAAGGAATCTATAGCCTGTTTGTCTAAAGAGCTTCTAAATTAATTGGCTTTTACTTAATTGAAAATGTATATTTAAATACAATTAAACATTTAGGACATTCAAAAGGATACTGAAATACTCAAAAGGGGGTTGAATTTTAGGAGAACATGAGGCAAATTGATCTTGATAATAGCCTGAGTTTGGGGCATTTATTCTGGGCCAGGCATTGTGCTAAGCACTTGTGTGCATGTTTTTAACCCTATGAGGCAAGGACAGTTATTCCCATTTTCAGATAAGGAAACTGGCTCAGAGGTATGAACTGACTTCCTCAGGAAGCTACAGTATTGACCAGACTGGAATGTAAATGAAAACTCCACAAAGCCTGCTAACTGCCTCTGGCTAGTAATGGACGTGATATGTTCCCATGGGCAGGAGACCCCAAAGCTCAGAGGGGAGACCACAGCCTGATTTTGGTGGCAGAGGTGGCAAGAGTGGACCTGCTCAGATGCCAGGCCTGGACCTTATGCCGCTAACGTTTGGCCAGGAGGCTGGGTTGGGATCCATGAGCACACCTCTGCCAGCAGGTTGATAGATAACGCCCTGAATTAAAACCGCTCCAATAATATGTCCACACATCTGACAAAAAAAAGAAAAAGAAAAAAAGAAAGGCCACTCCTCCCGCATCTCCATGCCAGAGAAGTCACACGGAGCACTGCCAGGGTTGGGAGGAGGGAAGGATCTGTCTCTTTATTCAAGCCTTGGTTTTCTGGCAGTGTCCTTGCCAGCTGAGAGTGGAGAGATGTGTGATGGTTCCAGGACATTCTGGAGGCTTCAGGGGTGATGACTGGAAGTGATTAATGAGTGTGAAAGGAGCTCTGAGGCATGTTGTAGAGGCACAGAATGGGGGGAGGGCATGAGGGGCCGAGAGCAGTACCAAAAGGGGTTGGGATCATCCTTCAGAGGCCAAGCTGCTAGGCAGAGCTCCCTAGAAAAGAAAAAGAGGCTGTGACTCTTTATTTATTTATTTTTGAGGCTGTGACTCTAGATCCAAGGCCCGTTTTTTTTATCCTCCCATTCTTCCCCTATCCATCCAACCCCTACCCCCACCTATCTATCCATCTACCATTCCCCATCCATCATCTATCTACCCACCCACCATTCTGCTTCCATCCACCAATTCATTCACACATCTACCCAACATTCCCCATCCATCTTCCCACTCATCATCTGTCTGCCCATCCATCTATCCCTCATTCACCCACCCACCCATGTCTCTACCATCTCATCACTCGCCCCCACCCCCATTTAAACTTCTTGAAGGCAGGCACTCTATTTGGCGCCCATCTATACTCCAGCTCCTAGAGTAGTGCTGGCACACAGTGAGTGCTTACTAAACTAATGAATTTATCTACCATTTATTTATTCGCACATTTACTTACCCTCCCCAATCTATTCATCCATTCCCCCACTCAATATTTTGACCACCTACAATGCCCTACAATTCAAGGGGCAATTCGAAGATCTGTAAGCTTCCATGTTCTTTCTTGAGCATAAGGAAAAGTCTGTTGGGACCACCAGGGGCCAGCGGGTGGGTGAAGGGGTGTTATTCAGCTCGGGATGGAATCCCCAATGAAGTACCATTAGGAAAGGAAGGTAAACTACTATATGGGCAGGCAGGGCCCTCACAGGGCATTGTGTCCAAGGTCCCCATCTGACACGGGGCAAGGGCAGCAACTTGCACAAGGCTACCCAGTAAACAGCAAATTAGCTACTCAGGCCCAGGCGTTTATGCTACTTGAAGCTGCTTCCAACACCAATTGGGAGAGATCAAATGTCCCAAAGGCACTAGAGTCAGATCCTGGAGGACAAGAGGGGCTGGTTGTGAGCTGTATTTGCCTCTGCTCTCGGTCGTGAACCTTTAAGTAGCAGCCTCTGTCAGACATGGCTATTCCCATGGCCTGCTGGACCTGACACATATTGACACTCAATAAACATTTGGTGACTATCAGTTCCTTTCCTGCCTTCTTCATGAATCCCTCTCCCCTTCTGCCAATCTTTTTTTTTAATGTTTTTATTGATTTCAGAGAGAGGAAGGGAGAGAAACATCAATAATGAGAGAATCATTGATCATCTGCCTCCTGCACACCCACCACTGGGGACGGAGCCCACAACCCTGGCATGTGCCCTGACCGGGAATCCAACTGTGACCTCCTGGGTCATAGGTCGATGCTCACTCTGCCAATCTCTTAAAAGGAGAGGTTCCCAAGCCTCCATCCCCAGCACCCTCTTCTTTCTTATGCTGTACACCACCCCCACCCTGCCCAGGGCAACTGCACACCCTTCAAATGCCACCTCCCTCCTAGGTCAGACTGCTTCAATGAAATTGAAGCCATATTTCCAACTGTCCACAGGGTATTTCCACCTGGAGTTTCTGTGGGCACCTCAAACCCAATCTGTTCAAAGGCGGGAGGATGACGTCCACGCTCCAAGAGGAACGAGAAGGCTGGCATGACCGAGTGCAGTAAAGCAGGGTGCAGTTCTAGGCAATGAGGTTGGAGGGACAACGGGTGGGAGGAGAGAGATCATGTAGGGCCTTGTAAGCCACTGGAGGACTTCGGCTTTTACTCCGAAATGGGAACGACTGTGGAGTTCTGAACAGAAGCACGACATCAGACTTAGATCACCCAAATCAGAAACCGGCCCTCATCTGATTTCTGCATTTCGCCCCCGCTAATATTTCTAATTGATTACCAAACTCAATCTTCCTGGTCTTTATTTTTCTTCTTTTTTCAATTACAGTTGACATTCAGTATTATTTTATATTAGTTTCAGGTGTACAGCATAGTGACAGTTATGTAAGTTACAAAGTGATCCCCCTGGTAAGTAACCACCTGGCATCATACATACTTATTACAATATTATTGACTATATTCCCTATGCTGTGCTTTATTTACATCCTTGTGACTATTTTGTAACTACCAATTTGTACTTCTTAATCCCTTCACCTTTTTCAACCAACCCCCCAAACCCCTCCCATCTGACAACCCTCAGTTTGTTCTCTGTAACTGTGAGTCTGTTTCTGTTTTATTCATTCATTTAGTTTGTTCTTTAGGTTCCACATATAAGTGAAGTCATATGGTATTTGTCTTTCTCTGATTGAATTATTTCACTTAGCATAATACCCTCTAGTTCCATCCATGTTGCAAATGGTAAGATTTCATTCTTTTTTATGGCCAAGTAATATTCCGTCGTATATATGTACTAATCATCTATTGGCAGACATTTAGGTTGCTTCCATATAATGCTGCAGTGAACACAAGGATGCATATATCTTTTCAAATTAGTGTTTTTGATTTCTTTGTATAAATACTCAGAAGTGCAATTGCTGGGTCATAACGTAGTTCTATTTTTAACTTTTTGAGAAACCTCCATACTGTTTTCCATAGTGACTACACCAATCTGTATTCCCACCATCAGTGCACAAGGGTTCCCTTTTCTCCACATCCTGGCCAACACTTTGTTGATTTACTGATGATAGCCATTCTGACAGGTGTGAGGTGATATCTCATTGTGGTTTAAATTTGCATTTCTCTGATGATTAGTGTGACTTCATGTGTATATTGGCCAAGTGCATGTCCCATTCGGGTCTTCTGCTCATTTTTCAATTGGATTGTTTGGGTTTGGGGTGTTAAGTTGTATGAATTCTTTATACATTTTAGATATTAACCCCTTATTGAATATATCCTTGGTGAATATCTTCTCCCAACAGATAGGTCTGTCTTTTTGTTTTGTTGATAGTTTCCTTTGCTGTGTAAAAACTTTTAGTTTGATGGAACCCCATTTGTTTATTTTTGCTTGTTTCCCTTGCCTGAGGAGATATATCCAAATATATATATATATATATATATATATATCTCAGCACAATGTCAAGAGTTTGCTGCCTATGTTTTCTTCTAGGAGGTTTATGATTTCAGATCTTAATATTTAAGTCTTTAATCCATTTTGAGTTTATTCTTGTATTTGGTGTGAGAGTAGTCTGGTTTCATTTTTTTGCATGTACCTATCCGGTTTTCCTAACACCATTTATTGAATAGCTTGTCACTACTCCAGTACCATATAGACATGGGTTAATCTCTGGGCTCTCTGTTTCAGTGATCTAGATGTCTGTTTTTATGCCAGTACCATGCTGTTTTGATTACTATAACATTGTAGTATAGTTTGATATCAGGTAGCATGATACCTCCAATTTTGTTCTTCTTTCTCAAGATTGCTGTGGCTATTCAGAGTCCTTTTTGGTTTCATATAAATTTTAGGATTACTTCTTCTAGTTCTGTGAAAAATGCCATTGGTATTTTGATAGGGATTGTATTAAAAACAGATTGCTTTGTGTTGGTCTTTATTTCTTGTATCTGCCCTTGCTTTCATCTCTACTATCACTGTGACAATTCAGGACCTAGTCATCTTTAGCTTAGTCTCTTGGAATAATTTCTAACTGGCTCCCTGCCTCTGGTCTCTCCCCTTTCCAATTCACTCTCCCCATTGACCACCAGAATGACTAATCTAAAATTCCAACTGCTCTTGCTCAAATCTCTTCAATGACTCCTCGGCTAGGAAAACATCTATGGATCTTGCTCAGGCCAGTGTTCTCAGTGGTTAGAGCATTGGCCCATGTACCGAAGGGTTACGGATTAGATTCTTGGTCAAGGGCAGGTACGTGGGTGGCAGGTTCAATCCTCGGTCCCTGATTGTGGTATATGCGGGAGACAACCAATCGATGTGTCTCTCCCATTTA